ATTCACCGCCTCTATCAGACCTAAGTCACTTTATTTTGACATTACACTGATTTTCTACTTCTGTCTTAAAAATCTTGAATATATCAAGCACCTCATCTTTTGAATGCAAAAGATATATATGACAGTACTTAGAAACATCATCAATGAGTGTTACAAAATATTTCTTACCACCTCTAGTGGGGGTACTATGCATGTCACATACATCACTATGTACAAGTTCAAGCAGAGATGTGGTTTTATCTACTTTAGGAAATGGAATACGAGTAATTTTAGATTGCACACAAAATTTGCATTTTTCAAACATATCAATATCATACTTAGGAATTAAAACTAAATTAACCATATCATGCATTTTCCTAGTATTAACATAACCTAAACAAGCATGCCATAAAGAAAGAGAATTAACAATATAAGCAGAAACAAATGTATTATTGATAACATTAAGTTTGAACATTCCCTGATACATGTAGCCTTTCCCAACAAAAATTCCACCCTTAGACAAGACAAATTTGTCCGACTCAAATACTAACTTGAAACCATGCTTATTAAGCAGGCTTCCAGAAACAAGGTTTTTCCTAACATCAGGTACATAATAAACATCATTAAGACTTAGGACTTTTCCAGATGTAAACTCTAGATCCACCGTCCCTTTGCCTTTGATAGCAGCAGTTAAAGAGTTGCCCATGTAGAGAATTGTTCCATCACTCACTTATTCATAAGTAGTGAAACGGCTCTTGTCATTGCAGATGTGCCTTGTTGCTCCTGAGTCAATCCACCAGTCACTAGCATCTTCGAGCATGTTCACCTCGGATACAACAGCACGAACTTGTTCTTGGCATTTGATGCTTCTGGCATCTTCTTGTATGACCGGCATTCATTTCTGAAGTGCCCTGGCTTGCCACAATGCCAGCAAGCGCCTTTCGGCTTCTTAGCATTTTTCTCGGGTTGGGGTTCACGCTTACGCTTCTTTTTGTTGAACCTCTTACCATCATCCACCATATGAATCTTGGAAGTCTGAGCCAATTGGTTTTCTTTACTTTCAAGAAGTTTTGACTCTTCCTCAACTTGGAGGTGTTGAGCCAATTCCTTTAAAGTTAGATCTTCCTTTTTGTGTTTCAGAGTTTTCTTAAAATCCTTCCAAGAAGATGGCAGTTTCTCTATTATAGACGAAACAACAATAGATTCATCCATGTTCATATTCTTTTGTCGAAATTGACTTAGAATATGTTGGATCTCATGGAATTGTTCCATAATGGGCTTTGTATCAATCATAGTAAAATGCATAAAATTAGTAACAAGAAATTTCTTACTGGTGGCATCCTCGGTGAGGTACTTTGACTGTAGTATGTCCCAAAGTTGCTTTTCCATTTCCAGATGTTCATACACATCGAATAGAGAGTCTGACAGCGCATTCAGAATGTGTCCTTGGCAAATGTAGTCGTCATTCTCCCATTTGGTTCTGGTACGGGTTTGCTCCAAAGTCTTATCTTCTTGCCCCACTGGATAGGAAGTAATCAGCACATAGACCACTTTGAGAGTGGTGAGCAAAAAATGCATCTTCTTTTGCCAACGACGGAAATTACCGCCATCAAACCAGTCAAGCTTCATGAAATCTTGAGTCATTTTCTGAATAGACATCGCTATATCCAAATATTGTCTTTAGATTGTTAGAGCAAATGGTTTTTAGATTGTTGGAACAAATGATCTTGAATTTTTTAGTTGGTGGTCTTTGGTCTTCAAAACTTGGCAATGATCTTGTCTATATAGAACAGAAAATTGGTGCTTCAAGTCGCGCTACTCAGTCGTTTTCCTAAAGACAATATTTGTACCCACCAAAAGATATGCAGGGGGTTACAAAAAATTTGCCTCCAGGATACAATGAAGCTTGATCTAAAGATCAAGTCTACCGGCGTCTACATTGATGACAGTTAATCAAAATACTCTTGATATAATCAAGAAAACCAAGACACTGATAATCAAATCTGCAGAACTTGATTACTAGTAAGAAAAGCAAAAATTTACTTAAGAAACTATTGATTGAAAACTCAAAATCAAGAGGGAAAGAAAGAGAGAATCGCAGGAATGAATTCTGAATTTTTGGATGGAATAAAATGACTGATTTCGTAGCCTATGTATAGGCCTTAATGCACCTAATTGAATGGTCATGTCCCTTGATCGCATCTGATCAGATCTGACCGTTGGATCGACGATCTATGGTGCAGATCATTCTTACACCGAATAGATGCCTTGACTAATCACACCTGATCACGATCGGGTGCCATCTCATCCATATGATCATGCGTATCTCCAATTAATGGCTATGATCAACCCGCTCCAGATTGGACACACAACCATTTGATCGGTTGGTTGACTCATTGCCAATAGATGACACGTCACTGCCACGTGGAGCTGACTGTATTCCACGTCACCCATGCCACGTCGGATCCACATCATCGCTCTAACCTGTCCGATGCAAATAGGAAAGGGCCTTCATGGCGCTATCAAATGCCACACAGCCTATGCCCGTGTGCGTGTGTGGATGGTGATTACAGTGTGAGTGCATGCACACTAGTTTTCACCTTACAATTCAATATTCAAAGGAATATTCCATGTAGCACTTTATTAAGTGCTCCATGTTTTCCTCTCTTTCTGATGGGGGACAAAGCCCCAAGCTTATTTCATTCTTTCCAAAGAAAAACACGGAAGGTTTTAAAAACACAAAAAAAAAAAAAAAAAACTATAAATTTGAAAACCCATTTTGAAAATTCCCCAACATTAATGGATTTAAAGTAAAAATATTTGACAATTCATTCAAGAACAATGATCCAAATTGGGAATTGGTAATTCAAATATGGATTTCAAGATTGAATTTGAGAGCTTATCACGGTGAATTTAAAATAATAATGTAAAAGTAGTTATTATTTGATATCATTCATGTTAAGGACTATAGTTGTATAAAGATCCTAATAAAACATTTGTTTGCATTTATATAGATTTCAAATCAAGAGATTTGACCCTAATTATTCAAGGATAAAAACTCAAAATTAGATTTCAAATTAGATACTTCAATTACTTAAGATTTTCATGATTAGTTAAATAGCTTTATAAATTTATTATGATGGATTTGAAATAACTATATAAAACTAATTATTTGAAATCATGCCAAGAGTTCTCTATCTAACTATAAGGATCCCACTAAAATATATATATGTTCTATTTCAACTTATCTTCTTCTATTGTTTTTCTATTCATTTAACCTAAAATCTATCCAAACAGACGCTACCTTTTCTCAATCCACCTATAATCTCCTATATCTTTATAAAATTCAACCTCAAATCACTTCTTTTAACCTATCCATCCAAATAGAGTCAATGGCCTATTTAGTGTAGATTAATGAAAGCTTAAAATTGATGATCAAAAAGCAAAAGCTAAAGAGGGTGTTTGGTGGAGATTATTCTATGTTAAAAGTTGAAAATCATAAAGTATAAATTAAAAGCACCCTCACTTAGCTTTTGAAAAATCAGTTTTTTCAGCTTATTTAAACTATTTCTGCCTAATAAGCAAAAGTTGCACCAAACAGTCTACAGAAGTTGCACCAAACAGTCTGACACAAGCTCCCATATTAAAATAAGCAGATCCTCTACCATGGTAGCCTGCAATGGTCTCTGCAGTGGTGGCCAAAACGACGACGTTTTGGATTATTTGTTTTTTCTTTTTTCCTTTCTCACTCTTTTCCTTTTTCTCTCATTCTGAGAAACCCTAACCCATAGAAGCAAGAACAAAAAGGCAAAATGGAGGAGTAGGAGGGCGACGAAAACTCTACGGCCTTACTATGCAAACCCACTCACCCTCCTTCTTTTTCTTCCCATCAAGAAGGTTGGCCGGTGAAGTATCAACGGTGACGAAGCTTCTGGTGACTTCAACTCAGAGCTTGTCGGTTTCGTTTCAAGGATAAGCATTTTCACTATTCATTAGCAAGACTAAGGTGGAGAATTCGAAGCCAAATTTGAGCAATGTGAGAAAGGGTATGCTGGAACGAAAAAGGCCTAGTACTCCTTCTAGAGGTAGAGATCAAGTGGCGAATTCAAAGCCACTGGTCAATGAGAGATAGGAGGGAAACATTTTTTCGGATTTTTTTTTTAAATTTTAAAATCAATAGATTACCGAAGAGAGCTTATTCGACAAAGGAGTCAAATTTTTGGAAATTAGAGGAGATGGGTATCTTCTAGGGGGTTGAAGAAGAAGGGGACATGCATCTAGAAGAGACTTACTTTGATTTGGGTCTTTTGGGACCTTCATTGTTGTCTCTTCCAAAGGGCAACAATGGAGGTCTTCTAGGGTTGAAGTTATTGTTGGGTTGAATCATGTGAAGGGGTTTTGTGGGTTTGTTGTTGAAGTTATTCCAGAAATAGCAGCCACCATCATTGCACATTTACAACGATCGCCGGAGAGGGGGTGAGGTAGTGGCGCGTTGGCTGGTGTAGTGAATGAGAGGGTCTT